GGGGGGGGCTCTTGGGAGGGACCGAGGGGAAGACGGGCGAAGTTCTACTGGGCGAAGCGCCTTTTAAGTTTTTGGGCAGTGAGTGCGGCCGCGGTTCCGTTTTCTGTGTTGTGTGGGACCAGCACGGAGGTAGCCCCGCGGGGGGCTGCTCCCGGGTCTCTCCGGCGCGGCAGCGCGCAGAGGGCAGTCGGGTTTGTATCGCTGCGGTGATTCAGCGCCGTCTGATGTCTGAGCGAGTGACCGGCTCCGGAGCCGGGGAGCAGAGCCTTCCCCAGGCTGTCCTCACTGCCAGCGGGACAGTGTTCATAGATACCTAAATAATCTCCAAAATATTTGGAAAAAAACCCACCCCAAACCGGTTAATTCCACACACAAAAAAAGAAAACCGAAAGACTCGTCTATCGATTTGTTGGAATAAAGTGGGTTACTTACTATGATGCCAGGCAGGATGTTGTGCGTTACCTAGAAGTGTGTACAAAAATACGTATATACAGTGCTACAGTTTCAACGGAAATCCTTGATTTTTGTAAAGATAATGATTAAGTAGGTCGGAAGTGCCCCTCATAGCTAGTTCTTGATGAGAATGCTGCGGCTGAATGGGAAGCGACAGATAGGAAAGACTTTTCTAGCTGAGATGAAACGTAGTTGTTTCCCTTTTGAAAGAGGCTTTTGAAATTCAGTTGACTTCTGTTTGATTCTGTCTCTGTACCATTCTGTGTACAGGAAAAAAAGAGAATCAGTCAGTATGACTTCAATCACAAGAGCTGTTGATCTGAGAAAGATGAACATTTTTACAGAGAGTTCCTAGATTGTACCTTTTTTAGCTAAAACGGATTAAAATACTATTATGCTTTTTGCCCACTACTTTTCTGTTTAATGACTAGGCAGATATTACAAATGTACCTTTAACCCCAGTAGAGGCAAACCCTTAAGCAGGAAGGCAGTCATACTTTTTTTCTTACCTTTCTGTAGCTTGATTACAAGTTTAAAAGGAAAGTTTTTAGCATAAACCGAGTTAATCCAGGTAAGTAGTTAATTGTTTCAAAACTGGATATTTCATTTCTCTTAATTATTTTTTCTTTTGAAGGCCAGATACAGAAACCAGCCAAAGTTCTCAATATGGTTTTGAATCACTACCCCAGAAGATTTGTCTCATCTGCGGTGATGAGGCTTCTGGTTGCCACTATGGAGTACTTACCTGTGGAAGTTGTAAAGTCTTCTTTAAAAGGGCAATGGAAGGTAATATGTGATGCCGTTGTTCCTAATTATCTGAAATACATCTTTTTAGGCACTGCTAAGGACATACCTTTTACTTATTGCTGATGTTTAAAAATGTTATCACTGTAGTAATGCTTTTTGTTCTCGCAACTGTTGAAATACTACAGTGAATACTAACTAAATTCTTTCTTAATTGATTTTACTATTATTATTTGTTTTACTTTCATTATTTGCTATTTATTATTTACTGTTTATCAGTCTTTCTGAGTAGGTGTAGCTTCATAAAAATCTTGTGTATTACAGAGTTTGTTTTGAAAAGTGTAAATGCTATTCAAAGGAAGATTTTGTGGGTGTAAGCTAATGATCAGCAAAGGAGAATTTATTTTGGCTTCATTTTGGTTTTGAAGTTGTGGAATTTTTCTTGCTTGCAAGATGCAGAATTTGGCTTCCTGAGATTTATGGAAGTATTTCAAGTTTCATTGAACAATTTCAAGTCATAATAATAATAAACGGATTTGACTTTTGTTCCAAATAGGCATTTAATTACAAAGTCAAGCTGCAGGTTTAATAAATTAGTAGCAATGCCTATGTTTTTCTTTTTGATTATATTATATGCCTTGTCCATAAATACCCACTGAGATTCTAATTATGAATACAAAACCAGATTGCTTTATATATATATATACTTCATATATATATACTTTTATATATATATATAACATTTATATATATATACTTCAACTGATGAAGTAGGGGAGCAAATCCTTCTACATCTTATGTATTGTCTCCTTTTATGATTTTTATCTGATTCTATCAGAACTAGGAAATTCACATTTGTTCTCCATATACTTAAAAAAAAATTGTTACGATGTATAACATTCCTTAACTTCATAGAGTTTATTGCTCTTCAGATATAAAGGGAAATGCTGGAAAATTAAAAGCTAAGCAAACTAATGTAGTTAGAAAGTAATAACACACTGAAACAAAAAAAAAATCTACTTTAAGCATATGCTCTTGTTCTTCCTTCAACGTATTAGGTACTTGCAAAGTGATAACACTAGACTAGGTGGGACTAGATGAACTTTTCAGCTAGTGCCTCATTTTCTCTAATGCATTTAATGGAATTCATGAGAAAGCCATTAGAAACAACTGTGTTATGTTACAAGGAAAACACTTCTCTCTTAAGTCACTTAGAGGAATACATTTAAGTTTCACCTACTGTGTTAACTGGTCTCTTGGCTTGGCTTCACTTTTTTTTGCTTTGGTTATTTTGGTAAATCAGCCATATACTTTAAAAAAAGACAGGGAGCTGAAGGTTTAAGAATGATTGTAGTATAATTGATGAGTGCCATATTGTAAAATAAATTTTATTATTAACTTTTCATCTGTACAACAATATTGTAATTTTGTATCTGAATTTGATTCTGTCACTTTTGAATTTCATCTCTTTCCTAAAGTAGTATCCAGTTGGGTTTGTGCAGTAGGTGAACCTGCTCAAAGGTGTATTTTATTACTGTTGAGCATAAATATTTTAATGATAAATGTTAAGAAGGTATGTAAATTGGTTGTAGGAATATCTTAAGGTTGTTGTATTTACTGATAATTTAATCAAAGTCTCTATTTGCAGAATCTTAATAGATTAAGAATATAGACATACAAGGAAATAAGAGGTCAACGCGATCACACAAAGCAAATGCTTACGTTCTACATAGCAACTTCATACTTTCCCTTTGTAAATAATTCCAAAGACTGAGAGTATGGTGAAGAAATGTGTTTGGGTTTTTTAGTAAGAATATTCAAAGAATGGAAAACTACCTCAAGCCACCTGACTATAATAAGAAAAAACAGAGATTATTGAGTCTTTAGGGAAGCATGACAGGCATGAGCAGTGTGGGCATGAGCAAGGTGAGCAAATACAGTTACCTGTTTTTGTGTAGAAAGTGCGAGTACACGGAGAGTTTCTTAAAGAGATGGAGTTCTTATTTTAGTGGAAGCATAGGACATAATTACTAGCATTGAAATAATCCCATTTATGGATAGATACTTGATTTCATTTAGGATTAAAGTACTTTTTTATTTATTGCTTATCAGGAATAAAGGTGACAAATTACTCTTCTGTAAGAAACAAAAGAGTATTTTTATTGTAAATGCAATAGAAAATAGTGTTTAAAAGTTCACAGTGGTAATTGTGTAAATATGAGACTTTTTTAAATGTAAAATGTCCCCCTGCCTTTTATTTACCTTTTTTAATTTTTAGTACTACTACAGACATGGGGGGGGGGGTAATAATAATTCATGCAAGTAAGATGTTAGACTTTGTGAGTGCAAATTCGTGGTCAAAACTCTACTTTTCATACACTGTCCATAAAGTCCTGATCAGTATGAGAAATTAAAACAAGATTGGAAATTGATTATCTTTTGCTACTTGAATTTTCTGTATTTTGAGATCTTTTTCATGTATTACGCGGTTTTCAAGTGTGTAGGTACATAATATAGTGGTATTAAATTTGTTAGAACATGTCTGTTTTAATTATTTCTGTAATCTCAGATATGTTGGCTGTTTCACATCTAATAGCCTATGTCATCTTTTTCACAGAAATTGTCCTATTCGCACAACATTTTTTTTTACTCTTACCTATTGTGTGGAAAATACTGTATTAGTTAAATGCTTTCTTTGGGATAAAATAGACTGTTACATTATCCAGAAAACTCAAATTTTCATCCCTAATCTTTTTGAAATAAAACCAGAGCTTATGTAAAATACTCAGACTGAACAATCATGTAAAAATGTATAGGCAAACCTAGAAATGTTTCTATACTAAGCATTATTTAATCATACATTTGAATATAAATAGCAGATACACATACAGCTTAAGAGGGGGTCAGAACTGTATGAGGATCACTAACATGAAAGTGTAGAGTTAGAATAAAATTGTTTTAGAATATTTGTTGGCAGTGAATTCTTATATATATAAGATTTGGTAGATATTTTCTGGTTTTTGGGTTCTTGGCTCCCCATGTGTGCCTATATATGTAAAGAAAAAGATGGTGTTAATACAATAAGCACATTTTACTATAAATAGAATCCTGAAATAGGTTAACCAAAAATGCAAGGTTTTTTTTCGGGGGGGAAGTCTGGTATAACAGATATGAAAAAAGTTAGTGCTGGAAGTGGGGAGGAGAAAACGTAGCTAAGGGGCAAAAATAATGATTTTTTTTTTTTTAGAAACATTTATTTGCATTTAGAGGTTGTACATTTTCTGTTCGTCCCTTTCAAAGAACTGATTTACTAGTCTGTTGATTCACTTATTGTACAAACAAATTACAAGGCTTTTTCAAAATGCTTTGAAGACCTCCTTTGGGTGTAACGAAAATAACAAAAGTTACTGTTATTGATATTCATTTAAGAAATTTGAAAAGACAAGATTGGATTCAGTATGCTGATGGGGTAGTGCCATTCCTGTCAGGGAGCTGAGAGTGATGGGCAGTTCGGAATTACCAATCAAAAAAATTTCAGAAATAACATTTTAAATGCTTTCTAATATGTAGAATTACTATATCTGCAAGGTAATTTGCTGTTGATGATCAGGCATTTTTTAAGTGTTACCAATATACCTAGTTCATGGAAACAAAAATTAGGTATAATGTTTCTAATGGGGTTTTAGGAGAACAAAGATTAAGGAAGGAACTCTTACTTTTTTAGCACTAAATTGTCAAATGGCCTTTAATGATGTCTTATAAAGATACCTTCATGTAAAACCATGATGGGCAACCACAATCAAACTGTTTGTGTTACACCATGGTAAAATTTCTGTCCTAAACAGGAAGCCAGTGTACAGTTTTGGGATTCCAGAGTTATGCTGTTGCTAACACGTGGTTTCTTGATGGCCTGCATTCTTGCCTCTTTGTTGAAAGCATCTCTTTTGCAGTTGTTTTACTAATGAAAAATTAAAATTACCACAATCCTGAAAAAAATTTCAGGTGCTGTGTTTCCTATGTAAAGTCCCACTTCTAATTTTTGTTCTATATTTGTATAAAGCATTTCATTCTTTTACACTGTTTTTATATTATTGACATCAATGAAAAGTAGTTGCCTGAACCTGAAGAGTTTGAGGCCAACATAAATTCATGGTATCACAGCAGATGGGTCAGCTCTTAGTTTGTTTAAATACCTGGGACCCTATTACAAAATTGATCTAATGATTATATAGCAGATTTGTCTGGTTTTAATATGTGCTTCAAGCTCAGAGTAGCAGAGCTGTACAGATAATAGCGTCAGGGAGCAAGCTCAACCATACGTAGTAGCTAACACTTAACTGACAAAGTGTGAACTTTTCTTCTCTCTGAGATCTGAATTTGGCAAACTCGACCTGACAGAAAGTAAGAAGGCTGATCATGACTTTAACAAACTTTCTGATAAAGTTTATCTGACTTGTGTTATGTATAGGTAGTTTTGCAATGACAGTGTGATTCACTGTGTAAGTAGTGAAACACTATGCAGAAGGAAAATTGCTGGATTAAACAGCTGTGCTTTTCCATAGCTTAAGAATGTAAAATGGCACGGCATGCCAAATAGTTATAAAAATGCCAACCACTAATAGAAAATCCCCTTTGAAAACAGTGAAATGCAGTACTATAGAGACTCTTTTGGCTGTGAAATTGATGAAGGAGATCTAAAAACTTCCTTTTTCTCCTAATTCTGCAGGGATTTCCAATTTTTAATCCAACTTTCCAGGCTGGAAATCTGGGATCTGAATTTGGTACAGTGTGTACTGTAAACCCAATAGTAACGAAAGTTTCACACAGTAGAAAACGTACAAACACACAAAGTATACATATGGCAAGTTGAGAGATGAAAATGCTTTTCACTTAACATAATATTTAATATTATTAAAGATCTTTTATTTTGCACATAACCAAAATGTGTTAACGTACAGTAAGGTAAATGTATTTCCAAATTCAAATGTACAAAGTTACTTCATTGAGGGTCCTAAAATTAAAGTGGGAAATGTCATTTTTGT